CTATAACGCAATTAGTACTACGTTGCATATTATTAGTAACACTCGTAGAATGACCTGAAACAAAATTAATTATCAATTTTGTAAGTGAATATTAAAACAATTTAACATTATTATTATTATTGAGTGCAAAGTAAACAGAAATATTTTTGAAGAAATAATGGATGAAAATAATAATTGAAAATTAAGCTGTATATGATTATGACTACGAGGCGTAAATCAGACGAAAGAAATGCTAATCACAAAACTATTAATAATTAACGATCTCTCAATTGATGACTTCAGATAACTTACGACAACCCAATGCAGAAGTAAGGGAAGTTGGGAGAAATACAAAACAAAACTGAATAATCATTGACAAAACATCATCCAAGCATTTTAGGCAGCGTTAGACTAGTACTATTAGGATATTAGTATAATAACAAAAGAGAGCAAGACTAGGCTTATTATGCTTAGGAAAATTGATACCAGCGTAGAAACTAATTATAGTCTTCTATAAACGAAAGAGTTCTCCAAAGGGAGGTAATCAGGAAACAAGTGAAATTACTCCCGATTACGTTATCACAATTAGTACTAGGTATCACAGGTTATTAGCAATAGGTGTAATATACTATTACTACTTAGTGTAATATGATATTACTATTTGAATCAATAGACTATTACTACTATGTATAATAGGTTATTAGTGCTAGGTGAATTGGGATATAATATATGAACTATTATATATGAACGATTACTACTAATAGTAGCTACTACGGTGTAACCCGGATATAAAAGAGTTGTCGCGACTGGAGAAGAAGTCTCTTATATCCGGGTTTCTCTTATATCCGGGTTTGGTCTATTTTTTATGTAAGTATGGGAACACTTTGGGACCAGAGAAAATCTCTCTTATATCCGGGTTTCTCTTATATCCGGGTCTCTTTTATCCGGGTTACACTGTATTACTATTGTATATGAATAATTACTATTAGGAGTAATGGACTATTACTGATATGTGTAAAAGTCTATTAACACTGAACGAATTATGCTATTCGGTGTAATATTTTTATTACTACTAGGGGAATTAGGATATTTATTGCTACGTGTAATAATCTATTAAGAAGGTGCAATTTTAAGAAATATAAAATTAAAAAAAAAAGTATTCAAAATTAATAATAACTGTGAACGACACATCTAAAAATATTAATCAACTTAAATCCTTTTCCAGGGAGTGTAAAATTAAGATAAATAAGATGGAGCAATTAATAATAATCGACAATGCTTTATCTAACAAAATTAAATAAATTAAAACTATTACTATGCGTAAAATTAAGAGTAAATGAGATTAAAATGATAGTTACAGTAAATAATAATTGAAAACACATCATCTCAGAAAATTAAACAATTTAATATTATTCCACCTAGGTGTAAAATTAAGAGAAATAATTTAGAAGAAAAACAAGACAAAAATTACCATTAATTTGCAATGTTCATTAAATAAAATCCAATATATAATTGCTATAATTATCTGAGGCTGAAGGAAGATTAACTGATTGTCGAAAAAGTTCTTTAATTCCCAACATTTCTATTTAGTCTACAATCTAAATTCAGATCCTGCTCCTCATATTCGACCACAAGCAATCCACACAATGAGCATTCATCGTATATCTATATCCTTTTCCATTCGTAAATGGCTTCCATTTTTAGCAGCTACCGTACGGGCATATCTTCACCACGTATAATAACTTGTTCGCATCTATTTTAACCGCCACAAGTGATGCATCCGCCTGCGCACACATGTCTAAACCAAAAATAAGCTACTCTTTTATGTGTGTACGTGATGCTGGATCATGTGTTCCCACAGTGACCTAGCTAATGGATAGGATAGCGTACTGTGTCTGTTGGGGTCTCGAATCTTCCGCCACATCACACTGCGATATTGCAAGTCGTCTTTGTTTCTTCTTGGTTGCTCTTTCTAATAATACCACCCAATTCTAAATCGCTCTATCATGCGGTGATCTTAGTTTTTGGAGCCCTCGTCGCTAAATCTGGCTTTTTCGGTTGTTCAGGGCGTCACTGGACTGTTATCATAAGAGCATCTTTTCACGACCTTTTTTTCTTATTTATTTTCAATTCGATTTTATACTTGGTATTCTTGAATTGTATAATCTTTCGTCAATAAAATGTTTTAGGTATTTTTCTCAAATTTGTAGGTTTGTCAATCGAAGCTTTCAGATAAATTATTCGGAGTGAATCCAATTTCAAGGGATTAACCAGGTAATTGATTTATCTTCTCTGAGAATCTTGTTTAAATCCTAGCTACCAGAAGTCAAAAGTAGTCTTCAGTTCCAAAGGAAATATTAAAACAATGAGCATCAAATCTTTATCAAAGAAACTTCCAAAAATTTAAGAAAATGATTTCAGAATTCGATGATGAAATACTTATGCATTAAGCCTAAATAATTGAACATTGATATTAAATCATGCACAACTTTTCTCATGCGATACGCTACAATCATAAAGTGTGGGCGAATACAATTTCTTCTGTGAGAGGTTTAGGAAGGGCAAAATCTGTTTTTCTAACAGCTTCTTTTACAAGCCAAGTTCTTTCAGAACGTGATCAGTCAGGACTTTCTACAACTTTCTACCACTAGTTGTGTAGCGATATAAGTTCTCTGCTGATATCATTTTAAGGAGGCATCTGCAAAATTGTTTTGTCCTACAAAGAAGATCAGTCGGATGGAGTCGACTAAGAATACTGTGTTGTTTGAGGAATGCATTTTGTAGACTAAAGCAGACAGGACAAAGGAGTATGGTACTCTATAAGACAGATGTCCCTAGCAGCCTAAACAAAAGAGGACCGCTTATTGGCGCGAGAAAAGGAAGGCAAATGCCGCTTAGACTGTTCGCTCCCACACCCACATATCGCATCACTTTGCATTTCTCACCTACTGCCGGTAATTACAAGAAGGTTGCAACGCAATAAAATTTGCCGACTGCTACATTTTCCTATCATAGCTTTCTTTTTTTTCTGGTGATGGATAACGATCCGAGCAAATAATTATAATTTCCCTTGTATTAAGACACAAGCGTCAGACTAGAATAACAAGCACTTTGCAAACGAAACTGGTGCCTGGCCTGAGCTGCAACGCTAAATTTACTCAAAATAATTTAAAATTATTTAGCATCACACTTTCTGATCAGTTACACAAACACTTTAAATAGGGTAATCAGTATTTCTCACATATTCTCTTATCTTCATTCTTTCTTTTCTTTTATGTGCCATGTCCTTTCAGGACGTAGGCGATCATGGCTCCCCACCTCCCTCTATCCCTTGCAGCTGTTAACAAGTATCTTCCCCCTGCTTCCTCCTCCAGACTACGTTCTGCCATTCATTTATTTAAGTCCGTCAGGTATGTCACGCGTTGTTTTCCCTTGATTCCCTTTTCCCTCTATTCAACCCGTGAGTATCGGATTCTCCATGGCGTCCTTCTTCATTATCTGTCCCAGGAACTTCAGCGGCCTCTTCCTGATATTAAGTATAAGTCTACTCCTTTTTTGCAACCTTTCTAAGATCTCATCTTTGCTCACACACTCGGTCCATGATATCCTTAGCATCCTTCTGTAGAACCATATCTCTGTCGCCTGAGGTCTCTTCTTCATCTTGGAGGAAATCATCCAACATTCGCAGCCGTAAAGAAGGACAGATGTCACGTAACAGTTCAGTATTTTTTTTCTTTGTTACCGAAGGTATCCTCCTGTCTTGCAGTACTCTGTCCAGCTTTTTAAATTCGTCATTAGTCATCTCAATACGCTTACGTATCGCAGTGTTGCACTTACCGTCCTCTGTAAGGCTGCATTTTTTTGTTGTTTCTTTGTCTTTTAAGATGCTCTATAAAAACAAGTCTTATTCTCAACCAAACTCCTGGGTTAACAACTTTGAATGTGGAATTATATAGACCAGCTTTATTTATTATATCCCCAGAAACTTCCACTTTCTTTCAGATAGTAAGGGTACGTTATCCTGTTCCCCCTAATTCCTTTACCCGTTCCTCGTTGCTCGCATTCTCTGCCAGTGGTCTTTTTAACGTTCCTCAGTAGATTCGCACATCTGTTGGTTGAAGTCTCTTCTTCATCAGTAAGGAAGTTGTTCAGCTTCCCCGATAATATGAGCGTATTAATTCTAGTCCTCATAACATAGTTCGGTATTAGCTATATCTGTCACCCAAATTAAGATATCATGAAGGAGTTCAAAAAGTACGACATGCTATACAGCTCTGAGTTGATCGTTATAGACGCCCCCTCTGACCGCACCATCATATATAGCTTTTCATTGAAGAGTAAGCAGTAAGCCACATACTCCAGGTAAGAAAGATAGCTTCTGCTTAGACCTACACCTTTTTTCTTAACATTTTCTGGAGATGATATTTTTATTAGTCTGTTAGGTCGGGAGTTTGGTGCTTAGAATGATCTTCGCGGACAGTTTGGAAAAATGAGTGAAAAAAGGACAACTTCCCCTTGGAATACCATTTCAGCAGAAAGGCAGTTTCTGTCCCACGAGGAAGCACTCATGCTTAAAACTCTAATAACTCATAGACCACATGTAAATGAACAAAGGGGAATTTGAAAGAGGCCTAATATTCTATAGTTACCAGGTTTTCAATATTACAAGCGTAGTATTTCGTTAAAAAAAAACTTTCTTTTCGAGCCAACGAAAGCACAAGCATCTAAGAAAAAATATCAGGGTCAGCAATATCCGAAATAAACTACTAGGGCTAAATTTCGAGAGAAGATAGAATCTAGATACGAAACCATCAACGGTTTGAAAGTTACTTCCTGAGAAATTACGTTTGGCGTCACATGAATTCTGTATCTGAAAATGTCCGCGAATTCTTCAAAAAAATAAAAAAAAATAAATAAAAATAAATAAATAAAACAACCTGGGTCTGGATCGATAAAAATCAATTTAAAGATCCGCAAAACGGCTGTCAAATAAAAACATTCACTCGTCAGGGACATCTTACCCAATCGGCATGCCCGCGAAAAAAAAAATCCCATCATGCAGGCCATTATAATTTATCACAATCCTCAACAACGAACTGAACTACAAGTAGATGAGGCAGCAACTGCACAAGAAATTGAGAAACAAATCGAGCAGTAATGATGGATTTAACCAACAGATGTTAACGGCATATAACTGGAGTTTTGAAGAAGAACAAAAAAAAAAAAAGGAAACGAAATGAAAACTGTGATTTTATTCTGCATTCAAATCTCCATGGAATTCTTGTCAACTTTTAGGTACCGATCAAAACTATGGCAGCACCGACTGGATACTCTCATCGTAAACCATTACAAAAGCGGAGACGCTAAATTTGATAGCTCTTAAGAATTAGGAAAACATTTCTTTTGATTGAAGCGATCTGTCGACAAGGAATTGGGAGATCGATGGAATCCTGGCATTTGAATTCAAATGCGAGAAGAAAATGAAGTCTATAAACAAATATACGTACATTTGAAAACTACAATCATTCTATCTATCTATCTATCTATCTATCTATCTATCTATCTATCTCAGTCTATTACTATCTATCAATTAGTTTGTTCATATCTATCTATCTATCTATCTATCTCAGTCTATTACTATCTATCAATTAGTTTGTTCATATCTATCTATCTATCTATCTATCTATCTATCTATCTATCTATCTATCTATCTATCTATCTAACTCAGTCTATTACTATCTATCTATCAGTTAGTTTGTTCATATCTATCTATCTATCTATCTATCTACCTATCTATCTATCTCAGTCTATTCCTATCTATCTATCTATCTATCTATCTGTTATGGGACCCTACCTATAATAACATAATGGACTATTCCATACGTAATAAATACTGCGCCTCAAGAGGAAGCAGGGAGTTCCGTCTGAAGTCTGCAGAGAGTTCAGTCTGAAGTCTGGAGTGAAGTCCGTCAGGAGTCAGTCAGTCGAGTCAGAGGCAGTCCGTGTTCAGACAATTACTACTAAACCTGATTATTTGTACTAACCCTTTCTTCTTTGTATATATTCCTGTTTGTAATATATCTGTGTTATTCCATATCCGCCTTCGAGTTCTTCTTTATTGGTTCTACCTTGGACTATCAACGTGGTACAAGGAACCGGACAATAACACTATCTATCTATCTATCTATCTATCTGTCTATCTATCTACCTATCTATATCTATCTATCTATCTTAGTATTTTTTTTTATCTATCTATCTATCTATCTATCTATCTATCTATCTATCTATCTATCTATCTATCTATCTATCTTTTTCCTAACTGAAGTATCAAAGCTATGCCAAAGGGCAAATTGGCTGCCCTATTTTTCTTATCTACACATTTAGGAGTTTCACCCATAATCTGTTATATCCTTAACGGTAATACAAACCATATTATGTAGATCGTTAACTAAAAAAGAATGAGAGCACGGCCTTAGAGTGAGCCTTGTTGAACGTCTGAATGGATTTCATGGGCTTCAGAAGAGGGACAATTGATAATGGCCTTTAAGGACGTACCCGATAGGAAGGACTTGATGCTTACGAGGACTCTTCCAGAGATTGCGTAGTTAGAGTGTTTATCTAGCAAACCCCTATCCCCCATATTACCAAAGTCAGCTGAGATATTTAAGGCGATCGACCACATGATTAATTTATTATCGAGTGTTTCTATGATTCTGTGTGCTGTGACAGGTAGGACATCAGTAGTACACATTGTTGCCCAGGAGCTTGTTTCTGCTGAGGTAATCCACAACCTCCTTGTTCATCATAGACTCAAAGTTTGTTTATGGCATTAAGAGGCTGATGGGTCGATACCCGAGACGGGGAAGGACACTGTCCCGCATTCTTGAAGACAGCGCTGTTAAATGACACCTTCTTGCTTGATTGATATAAGCATATTTCATCTGCTAACTGATCGATAATTGATTCTTAGCATCAGGTATACTTGTTAATTAGCTAATTATTGGATGTCACAAATAAGTTCTTCACTTGAATTTTCTCGAATTGTAGGTCAGTCTTATTTGATGGCTAATATCCCAGAAAGGTACAGCCTTTCTTCAAACTTCAAACTGACGAAACATAATCACAAACAAATAACTGTAGCAAAACACAACGATCCCACAGTGGGTAATTCAGATCACCCGTCGTTTGCGATGACTGTAATGGATTAAAGTACTTGCTTTCGTCCGGTCCTCCGGTCTACCGAGCTGTTGCTAGTGGCCTTTTATTCTCTCAGTCTCGTTAGTACGTACGCCGTCACGCCAATAATGCTTTCTCCCGTCTTCCTCCCAGATCGTTATTTATGCCCGCGTCGGGGGCAGCTAAAATTTGCATACGAGACTTACTTCGCGTTCGCCCGAGACTTCCGGTTTTATAAATACAAGCTTGTTTGAATTTTTAGTCATTTTTTTTTACCTTTTTACGCCTGTCCGCGATATGGGAAATTCGGAATAATCCATTTCTCTTTTAATGCTGGTCGCGATCTTTCAACAAGACCTAACACGTCATGCAAATTCGCTTTCCGGGAGGTAAGTCTTCTCGTTCCTCACACCCATCATTGGAAAAATTTCTGCAGCAGCAACAAGAAAAATTAATACCACATTTATGTTGAAGAGAAAATAATGACATATTCAAGATATTGTTGTTCCAACTTCGACCAAATTTTTAAAAAGGAAGCTCTTAATGGAAAGAGCAATAACAGTTAGTGGAGATGCAAATCCTATTTTTCTAATATAAATATTTTAACAGAAAGATTTTATAAATTTCAACCGAATGGTGCAAGAGCCGTTCAATCAATAAATGCTGAATCTTTTCCTATTAGGAAACGTATAACATTACCACTATCATAGCAGCATCGGGTCATAGAGGTAAAAAAAAGATTTTATTTGGTATAGCTGCTAAATTTGTTAAATCTGTTCTTGAGAATCTTTTCACATCGAATTCTTCAACTAGATAAACGTACGAGTTTACCCATACTGTCAAAAGGAAGAGTTACATAATTTGACATTCAAATTTACAGAATCTTAAAACAAATCTTGCTTTCAGGATAGGGGGTAGGGGCTTTTAACAATATTATTAGCTAACAAGCTTGACTAGCTAAATCAATTACACCTGACGAGGGAGTGTTTCATATTTTCGGTTCTATGCCGCATCTTTTCTACATTTAGTGAATCTATATTATTTAATCATTTTATTCCAAGCAAGGAAGGAAAGCTACAAAGGTGCATGGTTCTACTAAAGTTGAGTGCATATGAGAAAAAGAAAAAAAAAAGGACATTATGAAGGAGAAAGAAAAATAAAAGAATAGGTATTAAGAACACAAAATAGAAAGATCGATATTACTTTTACAAATGTTACGAGGATGCATTTCTATAATAAGGGATTCCACTGAGTTCTACTTGTTATTACAAAAAAAGTTTTCATTCATGAAGTAGTTGTAAAATAGAGAAATTAGAAATAGAATGTTTGGAAGATTCTAGATCATTCTAGTATATTCGAAAAAAAATCTAGATGATTCGAGAAACATCTAGAAATATGCAAATTAGGTGTTAGCCCCTATAAAGATGGGATTTTAGAAAAGGGTTGTCAGTTGACGAAGAAGAATTTCTGCTGTTATCAACTCCGGCTTTTGATTCGAGGATTATTATATCCAGCCGAAAGAATCTCTATAAAAAGTTGCCGACCAACCAAAACCCAAAAGAGAATTTCATGGAACAAATTTGGTAAATAGAATTTTGACTAATTTTCATTGACCAAACTAAAAATTAATATTTATTTACACACCTTTGTGGATTTCCAAATATAGCACTTAGATTACTTCACTAGCCCTAAAGTGATAAAGATATTTGACTCCCTTTCCTTCTCCCTCGTAAAAACTTCGCCAGTAACTCTGTGTTTTCTGTTTTGTAGGCCACAAATGTTTATCTTGTATATATTTTATGTTGTGTTTTCGTAAATTAAATATTTGTTTGTGATTTAGCTCTGTGTTGTGGTAAATCATTTTTTTCCTTTCTTACAATTATCAACACGTAACACAAATTTGACTGAGAAGCAAGAGGCCGGAAATCAATTCCACAAGAGTGAAAGTGTGAGTAAAGAAACTGTTAGCATTACGGTTACATCTAACAATTTTAATTGTAAAATGATTAGACCTAGCTACAATTCTAGTACTGCGCTTAAATTCGTATATCAAGGTACCAAAGACTTAATTCCTGAAGGACAATTACCAGGAAAATAGTTATAGAAATATTACAGGGAAGCTACATTACAGTGCTGGGAAGGTGACTGAATCAGAGATGCCAGGTCAGGACTGATAATATTACTGGTTCTTCTTTGGATTTTATCAAGAATCATTAACTATACAGAGTGACTATAGAGTTGGATCCAATATGGGTGCTGCATATTTGCTGCCTTGTGCCACATCTAAACTCCGTTTAGCAAGTAACTTTATTCGGTGTGTAGAGATATCAGTTCTTTCTTGGGTTAAGAACGACTTTCACAATTTCTGGTGTGAGTTTCGTATTTCCTATTGCGTTTGAATATGGCGTCATACTCTGAGTGCTTGTTGAAGGGAATGGTTTCTTATTCACACCCGCATTATTTCGCCTGAGTAAAGTTTATTTCTGCGACACTTGAGGCTGTATACACTACAATTGCTAAAAAATTATTTTCTGCTCTTGCGTTGTAAATATAATTATGAATTAATTGTACACTTTGAAAAGTTGTCATCATCTCACAATTACAATATTTGTACATATGGTCACGAGTGAGGAGTTCATAGAGGAATTTTGGTTCTATAGTAATTGCAGCAGAGAGAGTAAGTATTTGTTATTTTGGTTAAATAAATATTGTCTAATGATCTCGCCAGTGATAGGGATAACATAAATGATAGGACACATCAAGACTAGCACTTCACTCTGCATTGGGTATGTGACATATTTGATGTATTTTTCGATACAAATAAATATTTAGTGGCATTTTATTGGTTTGACTAGTTGTTATTTAGTATTTCCGAGGCTGGTGATTATATTTCTCTGCAAAAACAAATGGTAATCGATTAAATACAGATCTCTTCTTTTATTTCATTGTTTCGTCGAAAAGCTTTGTGATTTAAAAGGTTTTCGTCTGTCTCTATTGGAAAGCAAATGCGTATTACAATGACAAAATATTTATTGAGAGGCTCGGGCTTATGAAAATAAAGAGAAGGAAGAAAATATGAACGTGAGCATAGATAAAAACTTCGAGCCCATTATATGCGTCGGTAGTGTAGGTAAATGATGAATGTTGTGTAGGAGCAATGTTTTTTATTTACAAATAAAGATATAGGAATATGTATTTGGGCAAAATTCTTTTGTGCAATTGCGTAAAATTTTAATGAATTACGTAATTCTATCAGTCTTTACTATTTCATTTCTGAGATGAGTAATTTTCAATCTTCTTCTATACGAACTTTTGTCCTCATATTGCTTGATTTACGATGTTTTGATAAAGGGAATGGGACGTCCCGGTGTAGCCCATTTGGCGTCGCTAACTCGGCCTGGCTGATTCGGCGAACCCGATTAGACAAAGGGATTTTTCGACAGAGGAACGATTAGCCTTCAGATTACTACTTCGTCGTTATAGTCAAATTTGCTCTCTCTCTCCCTCTCTCTCTCTCTCTCTCTCTCTCTCTCTATATATATATATATATATATATATATATATATATATATATATATATTAGTAGTCAAATTAGTACTTCGTCGTTATATGCTTGAATAGTCCAATTTAAGCAAAAGAGTAGTTAGAGCCATTTTTAAATCATTATCTTTCTCGAAAAGTTGATCGCTGGATATCCACCCCACAAAAAGCTAACACAAAAAAGAGATGCTGACGAACGAATCAAAAAAGTCACAATGGAAATTGAATCATTATTCAATTCCTGAAGGCTGTTGCTCATAATTACGAAATGAAGAAGTAATTTCTAAGATTTAATAGCTTTACTAAGTTTTTAATTTTTTTTTAAATACGATATTTTTAATTTAAGTTTTTAATTTACATTATTTCATTAGTGTTTTAATGGGATCCTTATTTCCTTAAATGAATAAAAAGTTATATTAACGACTATGTATTTTTAATGCGTTTCTTCTTTTGTGGGTGGGGGTGCGTTCGGTCAAAGACAGTTATGTAGAAACAGTTTGATGCCTAAACGGCTGTGACGAATAGTCAAATTATTTTTCTGACGCCGAATCAGCCACGAATCAAGCCGAGCTTCTCGACTTGACGGTCGAACTTTCTGCCTTTGAGC